GAAAAATAGGGAAGAAATGAGAATTTACGATTTCCGAATGAAAAAAAGATTGATTTCCTCGGCGATATTCGTGCGGCACTTGCCGGCTCGGTGTTATGCTAACAGCTGGCCATCCCCAAGGGTCCTTTCCGGTTCGTTTAGCGTCGCGCGAAGACAACCGTGTGTCATCGTTGTTGCCGCGCGCTAATTGAATATCGCACCCTTACCGGCTATGCCATTTCATCTCGCGGCGATGGGAGCTTTTAAGTAAAATTTCATTTCCATCGGATTGCTCGGATTCCTCTGCCACGCGGAGAACCGGCACCGGCTTTGTTTATGATCCAAACGAACGAAACGATCGTTCCAATTAGTTAATTGAGACGGCCAGCGGATCACCCGCCAATTTTGTTTATCTCGGAACTAGATACAACTCGCGAATAAAAGGAAACACGCGCAACGGGAGGATTAAAAAAAAAAAAAAGAAAAGAAGAGAAAGTATCCCCGGCGAGCGAATTGGCAAATGTGTACTAATAACTTTGAATTTAAATGACGATACTTGCATCCTATCAGATGAAATAGAAGAGATTATTATTATTATAATTCGAGTGACAAGTCAATTCATCCTCTGTTTGGATTAACAAGTTAATATTACGATTTATATTTTAAATGGAGCGAACCTTCTCTCGATTAGCTGTATTCATACCGAGCAAAGTCAATAAGACACGGATAATCCCTGTTTTTGCAATCACTGATTCACCTGAAACATCGATCATTTCATTCCTCGAAGCTGGCGGATCGATGACGATTGATCTGAAAAGCGGGAAAAGAGGAAAGTTTGTCTCCTTTCGATTGACTACGCAGCGACACGAGCAAGCGGGATAGGTTAATCGTTGCAAATGCAGGAGAGAATCATTCGGCAAAAAGTAGACGAGTAGTAAAGGTGAAACAACGAGGTGAACGAGTGAACAGAATCGAGTACCGGAGTGAAGCGACGCTGGGTAGGCCATAAACAAGTGCTTACCGCAATCTAATGCGTCTGTAATTGCTCGAGCACCAGTATCTTCCCCAACGGTCCCACTTGCTCCCGCGATTTAATTACTATGTAAATGTCGCATTCCCTAAACTGTCCGTTCCCCTCCCCGCTGTCCTCCTCCTCCTCCTCCTGCCGGCGCCCTACCCTTTTCCAGGCTGTCGCCCGATGTCCTTAATTACTTTATACGTTATTATAGCCCACCAACTACTGTCGACCGTACTCACTCCATCCGACAGCCCCGGCCGTTTCACTCCATTCCGTTCGGCCATATTGTTGCCGGCTTAAGCCCCCAATCTCTTTACCTTCTTCCTTGGATCCTCTCTTCTGATTCCCGCGTGAGAATGAAAATCGTTGCCCTCCGAAGGTGGTGGTTTCCACCGTCGTTTTACAAGCGGTTTCGTGCGCAGATTCTCTCTGCTGGATGGACCTCTTTTTCCTGATGCCAATGAATTGTGTCTTTCTATCTCTCTCTCTCTCTCTCT